GTTGCCGACGACGTTCTCCTCGTTGTGCTTAACCTCGCTCAGACGTCTGTCCGCGGACACGTGACGAGCTTCCTCGGCGTCCACGAGGGTCCTGGTCGGATATCGCCCGGGAGTTCCAAACAAATCAGGGGGGGAGGGGGGGGGTGGGGGGGCGTACTCTTATGTTTTGCATGCCTTAGCGGTTAGACCATTGACCACGCGTCCTCGAGAGGACGGAGCATTGTTCCCACAGGACCGATCACCGATGGCCAATCGTTCCTTCCTACTTTGCCAAAGGTGGCTCAATAATGTCTTCCCTAGTTTGTCTATCCTACCGATGTCCCTTCCCGCCTTTTCAAACCACTTTCTACTCCCCAAGTACCGCTACCGTCCTCTCCTCTCTATTCCATGCCTCAAACATCTCCCTGTACGTCACTTGTATTCTTCCCAGCTCAGTCATGTACACTTCCCTCTCCTTTTCGTACCACGGACATTCCGCGACTACATGAACACTGTCTTCGCATTCGAAGCCGCAATCGCATTTGAACTTATCGTCTTCGTCGTCTACCGTCCTATGTCTTCGTCGACGTTCGCGAAGGCCTATGTCCCCGGTCCTGAATTTGACCTTAAGCTTTGTCCCTGCATCCATTGGTCCATGTAGGTAATCCTTGAACCCTATTCCTTCTTTCAACATTCCGTACACTTCTAGACCCTCCTTATCCTTGGATTCTTTCCTTAGATTCTGTTCTTCTCTCTCGGCACAAGCAACAGATATCTTCTTCTTGAACCCCTGTAGACCCTCCGTTTCCAGCGTTTCATCTTCGTCGATGTCCAATCCCTTCCATACGTCCTCTACAACCTTGACCCATTCAGTGGGTTGTCTACCCCACTTTTTGTTTGCCCACTTCGCCTCCCATACTATTCTCGGCAACCTCTCCTCTCCCATCCCGCACATGCGATACTGCCATGTCAGCTTCCTTACGTCTCTTCCCGACCGTAGGGATTGGATCCCCAATTCTAGCCTGACTGCTGCATTACTTGTGCGCTTGGAGCATCCTAGGATGATTTTCGCTGCTTTCATCTGCGCCGCCTCGAGTTCTTTCACTACCTTCTTATTTCCTTCCCATACTTCTCCGGCGTACTCTAGCGGCGGTACGATTACGCTCTTCAACACCGTCAATTTGATGCGTGTATCAAGGTGCCGGTTTGCGAGTATTGGGTGCAGCTTCCCTGCTCGTGCTTTGCCCTTTTCCGCTACCTTGGACATGTGTGCATTCCACGAGCAATCTTTTGCGATCTCTACTCCGAGGTATGTGTACTGGTCCGCTACTGCAATCTCCTCGATCCCCCACTCCCATCTATGTTCTACTGGTTCCTCCCTGCCCTCGTTGCATACCATGACGGCACTCTTCGTAACGTTGGCAGACAATCTCCACTTATCAGTAAACTTCTTCGCCGCGTCAATTTGCAGTTGCAGCCCCTCAGGGGTGTCCGACATACCAACAAAATCATCCGCAAACAGCATTCCTGACACCAACGTTTCCGTGTCCCCTACTTTTACTCCCTTCCGGACTGCCTCTACGACTTCCAACAGATCGTTGATGAACACCTGGAACAATGTTGGGGACAGCGTGCAACCTTGTGGGACCCCTTGCTCAATGTCGAAGAATTTAGAAAGTTCTCCGTCTAGCATGACCGCGCTTTTCGTACACTCTGTCATCTTCTTCAGCACTCTCCACATTTTCCCCTTGATCCCGTACTTGGATAATTGTTTCCACAGCCCATTTCTCCATACGGTATCGTATCCCTTTTTCACGTCCAGGAAGAAGCAGTACGTCCGCTTTCCCGCCCTCTTTCTACCTTGGATGATTCTCCCTACCGTGAATGCGTGGTCTACGCACCCCCTCTTCTGTCGGAAACCTGCCTGGCCCTCACTAATGCTACGTTTCTTCTCCAATACTCCCACTATCCTATCGTTCAGCAGCTTACAAAACACTTTTCCTACTGTGTTCAACAGTGTGATACCCCTGTAGTTTCCTGGGTCAGTCTTGTCTCCTTTCTCAAACAAGTTCACAACCACTCCTTCCCGCCATCTACTTGGCGCATACTCGTTTTTTCACACCCAGTTGTACAGCAGTACCATCAGCTGGATCATCCCCTTCCCCCCAAACTTCATGAACTCGTTGACTATCCCATCCGCCCCTGCTGCTTTGTGGCACTGCAGCTTGTTCACACACGCCTCAACCTCGTCCTCAGTGAACTCCTTTTCTAGTTCAACGTTCCCAACGTCTGCCTTCGATGTCTCTTCTTCTTTCTGGGCCCATGCGTCCACCTGCTTCTTAAACACCTGGTCAAAATCTTCATTCTCCGACGGCACTCCAAGTCTCTTGTAGTGTCCTGCTAGAACTTCCCTTTTTCCCTTCCCACTGCTGACTAGTCCACCGTTCACACCTCGCAATGTTGCTACCCCTGTATCCCCCCCTTGCGCGGTCTTTTTTACCATCCCACTAATCCCTTCCCACATCTGCTTGACGTTCCCCTCCAGGCCTCCGTTGGCCTTCTGCACTACTTCGTCCCAAATGCACTTTTTCTTCTTTTTCACTAGTCCCTTCACCTGTTTCCTCTTGGCCCTGTACTTTTCCCAACTCTCTTCAGACCCCTCACCCAGGTACTGCTTGAAGACTTCTCTACGTTCCCCTATTTCTTCTTTCAGCTCGTCATCCCACCACTTAACCGATAACCCACATCGTACCACCTTCTTTCCCACTACTCTCTCTGCCGTTGTGTTCACTATGGACTCCCATCCTTCAATCACGCTGTCCCCTGCTGCTTGTGCGTCTACCTTTCCGTCTTCGACGCTTCTCAGCAGTTTCCTGAAGGGTTCTACACTACCAGCCAATCCCTTCTGGAATTCATCGCGTGTCCCCTCGTCTCCCAAACGCTCTACTTTCCACCGGAACACATTCCTCTTTTTCTTACTCTCCGTCTTTCTAGATCGGCCGATGTTTGCCCATATGAGGAAATGGTCGGTCGAAAAGATATCTATCGCACTTACGTGCAGCTCCGGGACCTGTGAGGCCCCCTATCTACCAGGATGTAGTCGAGGATC